AGTGGTCCAGGCTTGACTGGCACCAGGGTCCCTGATGGAGGTACCATGCATTGGTTCAGTGATATGGCCCAGGGGCTGGCCTTAGACTTGGACTCTAACACATGCTCAGTCAGTGTCTGTGGAATCTTAGGGAACGCATGGCCCTCTGGCCCCGAAACTTGGATGAGGCAATTTCTCAGGACACTGTCCTTCCCAGAGTATCCTGGGGCCAAGCCAGGTGTCTGAATATTGTGCAGTCTGCACTGTGTCCAAGTGGGTAGGAGGAGGCCAGCTCTGAAGTGGGGGTCCATGCGGCAGACTGGAAGCAGGAGAGGAAAACAAATTACAAGCTACAGCTAGGGACAAGGCTGAAAGGGGCAAAACAGGTGGGGTGGTAGGGAGACAAAGGGATAAATGGGGTTTAACACAAGGTCATTGAGGACAGTCTTTATACATTGCACCTGTGCTCCTGGAACCTGCAATGGGAAGTCTTAAATCCTGACACTGGTCAGTGCAACATGATGGATTGTGATAACAGTGCACTTGATTTGGGGCACAAGCCCTTCTGCACGTGAATCTGTGAGCATCACCTTCCTGAGCCCCTGGATGACTGCGGCTCTGCAGGCCCTGCACAGTCCCTCTTTCTGTTAAGAGTGAACAGTATCACACAGAGTCTCAGCGGATCTTGGAGACATGGCAGGCATCCCAGTGTGGGCTCTAAGTCAGCATTGCCCTGCTGAAGTTGAACAAATGTAGCCTTTTGGGGCTGGAGTATGAAATAGTTGTATAACAAGGGATCTGATGTTTTCTTTGTTGGTTTTTGTTTTCTCACATTTTTCTTCCCATATTTTGATCATATGAATAATTGAGATATTAAATATCAATGCCATTTACATGCATGTCAAGTATGAAATTAATACAGTAGAGTTTATAGTCCACATATTGACTAAGTTTTGATGTTTGTGGAAGTTTGAAAATATAGCCACAGACTCTTTGACATATCCATCATCAAGAGGTCGGGGCTCTGGCCCCTCCCTGTGAGGAGGGTGGTTGGTGACGGCTTCCACCATGAGGGGAGGGTACAGGGGAGCTAAGTGACCGGCAGCTGGGTCATGAAAGGCCATACAGCTTCCCCAGTGCGCACTAGAATGAACGCTTGCTCTTGGCGCCGGGAGCTGCCACGCAAGACGTCCAGGTGCATGACAGCACCGTGATGAAGCCTCACGGAGGTGCTCTGCTCTGTCACCCCAGTCCCCACATCATCCCAGCAGAAATGCCAGCGACCTGAGGGAAGAAGCCTCTAGATCTTTGCACCCCCTCCCTTCTCTATCTAAAAATAACTGGGAAAATATCCTCTGGTGAGGATTTAGAACAACACACAAAATTGTAGCTCACAGTCAGCTTTAGTCAGATAATCATGAAAGGTCTGTTAAAATCCACAAAGTAGGAAAAATAAAAATTTCTCTGATTTTTTGTGTTCTGCAAGTTGCTTTTTTCCTTGAATTTACCTGGGAGATGTCTGATAGTGTTGGAGCTTACCTTGCGAAAAGCTTAAAGAATGGTCTTCTCACTGGCAGAATTAGAGCAAAGGTAAGAGTGCTGTGTTGAGATTAAAAATTGAAATTAGACTCGGTTTAGTTTTGAGATTTTTACCTTTCACATTGTGAGTTCTCGTGGAATGCTTACGAGACAGGAGAAAGAATGAGATGATAGAGTGACTGTGTGTGTGGCCTCTACGCTGTAGAAGAATGGATAAATAACCTTTACCCACCACTTCAACCAGGAATCCTCCCCCCATCCACACAGATACCATCCCTCAGAGCACAGGCAGAAGTGAGAGTGCTGACATTTCAGTCCTCCCTCTGATCAGCCTCCGGTGGGGGTGCTAGTGAGCAGCACACCAGGCAAAGGGGGGCTGTTAGGCACTGGGAGAGGATAGAGGGTAACAGTGAGGGCATTTCCAGGTCCTGACCCATGATGAGGCTGTGTGTGCAGCTAAACTCACCCTTTAGAACAACTGGGCTTAAAAACTCTTAAATGTTAGTGTATTTGTCCCGGACCGATGCTGGAACATGCGTTACAATATACCGTCCACATTTTCCCAGGGAGAACTTTGATTTGTCTCTTTGCTTTGGGGCTTTGTAACAATGGCTTCAATGCTTTTTGGAAGTAAGCAGGGAATAGGTCACAAATAAATAATTTTTAGCAAGTTATCCTTTATTTTCTTTAAACATTTTTTATTTTCAACTACAGTTGACAAACATTATTATATTAGTTTTGGGTGTACACCCCAGTGATTGCACAGTACATAACTTACTAACCATGACTATTCTGCAGTAACCAATTTGTACTTAATTTTTTCACCTTTTTATACCCGTCCTCCCAACACCTCTCCTATCTGGCATTTGTCAAAATGTTCTCTGTATTTATAAATCTCTTTTCTGTTCCACGTGTTCATTTATTCTGATTTTAGATTTAATTGCTGATAGATACGTATTTATTGCATTTTTATTGTTCTTTTTTAAAAATTCTTACCCAAGGATATTTTTCTATTGATTTTCAGATAGTGGTGGAGGGGGCGGGGGTAGAGAGAGAAACACTGATGTGAGAGAGACACACCAACTGGCTGCCTCCCACGTGACCCTGACCAGGGCTGGGGATTGAACCACAACTGAGGCATGTGCCCTTGACCGGAATCAAATCCACGACTCTTTGATCTGCAGGCTGACACTCTACCTCCTGAGCCAAACTGGCCAGGACAATTGTTTCTATTTTTTACCTTTTTATTTCCTTCTTCTTTTTAAAGAAGACCCTTTAAGGTTTTATATTGTACTGGTTAGGTGGTGGTGAAGTCCTTTAGCTTTTTGTTGTCTGGGAAGCTCTTTATTTGTCCTTCAATTCTAAATGATAGCTTTGCTGGGTAGAGTAATCTTGGTTATGGGTTCTTGCTTTTCATGACTTTGAATGATTCTTGCCAATCTCTTCTGACCTGCAAGGTTTCTGTTGAGAAATCAGCTGACAGTCTTATGGGAGCTTTCAAGTAGGTAACCAACAGCCTTTCTTATACAGCTTTTAAGATTCTATCTTTAACCTTTGCCATTTTCATTATGATGTGCCTTGGTGTGAGCCTCTGGATCCATCTTGTTTGGGACACTCTGTGCTTCCTGGACTTGTGTGTCTTTTTCCTTCACCAAGTTAGGGAAGTTTTCGGTCATTATTTCTTCAAATAGATTCTCAATCTCTTGCACTCTCTCTTCCCTTTCTGGTACCCCTGCGATGTGGATGTAGTTACACTTTATGTTGTCCTGAAGGTCCCTTAAACTATCCTCATTAAAAAACTTTGTCTTTTCTCTTTGCTGTTCTAGTCTAGTGGTTTTTTTTCTACCTTGTCTTCCAAATTGCTGATTCATTCTCTGCTTCATGTAACCTACTATTTATTTCTTCCAGTGTATTCCTTATTTCAGATATTGCATTCTTCATTTGAAACTGGTTTCTATGTCCTTTTTCATGCTGTTGAACATCCTTATAATCACTAATTCAAACTCTATACCTAGTAAATAACTTGCCTTTATTTCATTTACCTATTCTTCTGGAGAATTCTCTTGTTCTTTCATTTGGGGCCTGTTTCGTTGTCTCCCCATTTCAGCTGCCTCTTTGTGTTTGTTTCTGTGTATGAAGCAGATCTGCTATGAATCCTAGTCTTGGTAGGGTGGCCTTGTATAGTGGGTGTCTGTGGGACCCAGTGGCACAGTCCCTCTGATTACCTGAGCTAGGCATGTTTCTTGTGAGCATGATGTGGGCCCTCTTGTTATGACTGAGTTGTGTTTTTTGTTTTAATCTTCACCCGAGGATTTTTTTTCCCCCATTTATCTTCAGATAGAGTGGAAAGTAGGGAGGGAGGGAGGCAGAGGGAGAGAGAAACATTGACATGAGAAAGACACATTGACTGGTTGCTTCCCGCACGACCCTGACCAGGGCTGGGGACCATACCGCAACCAAGGTACATGCCCTTGACCAGAATTGAACCCGTGACTCATTGGTTTGCAGGCCAACATTCCAGCTACTATGTTGGTGCTGATCACACCAAGAATAATTCGCCTCGGCAGGGTTTGGTGCCTGCGAAGATCTCCCTGTGGATACACTGCTGTGAAGCCTTGGATCCTGCTCTGTCATTGGGTGAATCTGGCCCCTGGGTTTATTGGTTGTGGGCCTCTTTGGAGGGACTCTTGTGCAGGCCAATGTCTGATGCTGCCTGGGCCTGGGTACATTCAGAGAAGACCAAGCTATGCGCCAAGGCTGGCTTTTACCAGCACCGGGTCTGGGGCAGGCCAGCAAAAGTCTCAAAGCACCCAGAGATCCACCTCCACCTGCAGGCTGCCTGTCAGGTTCAGTCACTGAAAGAGCCTCCGACTGCAGCCCCCTGCAGGGTGTAAGCTCCACAGGGTCAGGTGAGAGGGATTCCAACAGGTGGGGCTATTCCTTCCCCCCAGGCTGATGCCCCTTGGAAGGGAGTGCTCTGCTCGAGGAAGATAGTTCTGCAGTGTGGGCGAATGATCAGCACGGGATCCTGGCGGCTGGCCTTCAGCTCTCTCCCCAGAGCCATCAGCCCCAGACTCTTCTCGCTTGACTCTAGTCCTCTCTGCCCCCCACCCTCCCTCTGCCAGAGCCCAGGATGAGTGGCTGTGAATGTAATTTTGTGTGTTGGCCCTTTAAAAGGGTGCCTGGTCTCTAGCCAGCTCTCTTTGGTGGACAGAGACCCGCTGGAGGGAAAGGGCTGGTGCCCACAACCCAGGAGAGCACTGCCCTAAGCTGTGCCCAGAGACCCCTCCTCACTCCTCCTCCTGGCTTCTCTATCCCTCCAGGCAGCCCCCCTACTCCCTTCTCCCACCCTCTGGTGAGTTCCCCCTCCCAGCTCTCCCTCCCTTTCTCCAGGTTCCCACTCCCCTTCTCTCCTCCATCCCCTCACCCCTTCCCCTAGACCCTGGCTGAACCCCAGCTCAGTGGCAGCACCTGGTGATCACCTTCCCACAAGATCCACCGGTTCCGTCACGGCCCACAGCCCAGGGATGTGAGCACCAGAGGTGCGGGCCTGGGTCCAGTCCTGGCTCTCAGGCACCCTCCAGGGGCAGTTGTTCTCCAGGTCTCTGCGGGTGGCCTGGAGGGAGGGGACACTGGGCTCCATCTGAGGAGGGGCCCAGTTTCCTGGGCGTGTCAGAGGATGACGTGCCAGATGCTTCCAGAGGCTTTGTCTCAGAAACAGGACTCAGAGTGGAGTCACCAGGACGCTCACAAGAACACTGGCTTGCAGGCCTCTTTCCCTTAGGCCATAAGTGTCAGTGGCAAATAGAATATCCAGACTCGCACCGAGCCCCTGAGGGTTCCTGAGGTTCATAGCAGTGGAGCATATCCCTGGGACAGCCCCCTTGTCCTCACAGTGTCCCCCCCGAATCAGCCCTCAGATCCTGCTGCGGGCAATGTCAAAAGACGCCGAGTGAGGAGGTTACAGCAGAGCCCCCGCCCCCAGCCTGTACTTCTCTGTTCTGATGTTGTCAGTTTGTGTTTCTGTGCTGGGGCTTGGGTTTGCTTTTGGTGAGTTATTTGTGGTGACACGCGCCCGCGGATCTCTGCTCCTTCTAAGTCAAGGGCTGTACCATAGGGCCATGGAGGGAAGCATGTCCTCAGACTAGGAACGCCAGCGATGGCGGGAGCAGAGGGCCTGGCACCAAGGGCATGTGTGGGCTGAGTGACTCGATCCGCGTCCTCACCTGTGCACTAGGCTGACCTGGTTGACCTTGCGGGGTGCGTGTGGGTTAAGTGCCAGGTGAAGACAGAGCGTCGGGCACGTGATAAGCACAGAGGAAGCTTGGCCCTTGGTAGTGACGTGTCCTTGACAGGCCCTCCTCTTCCCACAGGGTCCACTAGGGCCTCCGAGAGAGACGCTCTTCCGAGGTGACCACTGGGGACTCGACTTATGGAAGCGCTGGCCCGTGCACACATCACTGCGTCACCGTCCTCCAGGGCCGCAGTGACAGCGCCATCGTCTGTGGAGTCTCACCCTGCGGCCGGCCCCAGCAAAGCACCTTGTCCCAGTAAGTCGACTAGCTCATGTGTCCGTGGCTGGACATCGCACGCGTGTCCCCAGGCTGTGCGGGGGGTGGGGTGATGGTGGAAGGCAGGAGTGCAGGAGGGCTGGGTTCCCCGCACAGTGTTAGGGCCTGGCTCATGCAGGGAGCCACAGCCCAGCCTGCACCCTGCTGAGAGCTCTGTGTGTGTGTGTACAGTCCGTGTCAGGAGCAGTCACCATCCTGAGTGACTTTCCTGTGGCTCACAGGGACAGAGGTCAGACCTGCCATCCACTGCCTGGGAAGTTCACACACACACACACACACACACACACACACACCCACACCCAGACCCGGCTGTGACGCCAGTCCACTGTGGGCACTGCCTAGCCAGGTCACTCCGGGGCCTCTGCTCTGGTCTGTGACCTCCACAACCCGCCTGCCTGACCGGCTTCAATACCAGGACGTGGAGCCCAGGAGGGCGCTCGTGCCAGCTCTCGTTGCCGGTGGCCAGAGCCCTCCGTGAGCTCTGGCTCGTCACCCTTTCCGGCAGGGTCCCTGGCCTGCTGTCCCTGCCCTGTCGGTTGGTCACCTGTGGGAACACACAAACCTTCTCTCTGGCAGGTCAGGGCCCCTGCAGCTCCATCGGGGCTCAGCAGTCCTGCCTGGCCCGCCGCCTCCCGCCCAGCAGCTGCGAGGTGAAGCCATCAACGTGGCGGCGGGCCAGGCATCCCTTGAAGAGGCCTCCATAGGCAGGTGTCCTGAGGGAGCCGGGACTCAGGTAGACAGATGCGCAGGCCCCTCCGGGATGGACCTCGGGGGAGCTGGTCGCACAGGTGTGGGTTCCCAGGGCCCACAGAGCAAGCCACAGGCTCGGAGAAACAGACATCGGCCGCCTGGTGGGGTGAGCGAGGGCCTGGTTCGTTCACTCCTCGCCCGGAGTCACGGCTGCCACTGCACCTCCGTCCCCCACGTTGTGCGGTCTGGCCACGCAGTTCCTCCACGGCGTCTGTGTCTCTCTCGGACGCAGAGAAGTTACAGCAGGATGAACAGGGAGGGATCCACCTGCCTCGTGGAGTGAGGGCCGTGTGCATCTTCCTGCCCAGCATCCGAGAGTGTGATGAGCCACCACTGACATCTGTCTTAAAGTCCAGGACCTGGGGCCTGGAGGACAGGGCAGCCTCTAAGCAGCACTGGCAGGAAAAAGAATGCTGTGCCCTGGCCGGTGTGGCTCCGCGGTTCGAGCGTCGGCCCGCGGTCCCGAGAACTGGGATCATTAGTACCGAATCTTGGGGACTTACTTGCTTTCACTTAGCTTAATGACCGGGAGATTTGTCCAAATTGTCGTGTCCGTCAACAGTCATTCCTCTGCTTGCTGAGCCGAGTCCCTTGGGGTGGCTACACCACAGTTTGTTTACCGCTCACCTGCCGAAGGACATCCGGGCTTCCTCTGTTGGGGGCTGTTACTTTAGCTACTACGACAGTCGTGTGCAGCTTTTGATGCGAATCAGATTTTGTTGCTCTAGGCTAAATGCCCACTGGGTTCTGGTAAGTATACGTGTCACTCTTACGACACTGCCACGTCTGTTTCCAGAGTGGCTGAACCACTCACCTTGCTGCCAGCAGCGTCTGAGTCCCCTTTCTCTGCATCCTCACCGGCATCGGGCACACTCAGTGTTGCTTGTTTCAGAGTTTCTAACACGTCTCTTGTGGCTTTGATTCGTCTTCCCCTAATGGCTAGTGATATTGAGCATCTTTTCCTGTACCTGTGTGTGTAGCATGTTTTGCCATCGGGTGGGCGAGTCTGAGGCCGCCTGTCCTGCATGATCCCCGCCCCGAGAGGGAGAGCTGACCTCGGCTCCCCTGACGTGGGACTGCCCCCTTAGCTATTCCACAGGAAGAAAGGGGTGTGGTGATGGTGGGTGGTTTGACCTCCGAGGTCAGGAGCACAGGCTCAGAGCGTCAGGTAAGCTCGGGGTGGGGGTGGGGAGAGGATGTGAAGCTTCCCGCCCCGTGTATGACACCCACCACCCTTCCTCCAGTTCACACCCCAAGACTCTTTAGTAAGAATCAGGCTGTGGAGGTGGAGTCACTGGGTGTTGCGAGGAAGCTCTCTGACTGGCTCGCAGTTGGAAATAGTGGGGCCCAGTCACAACAGGGTCACAGATATTACCCCCTTTTTGGAATGTGGAAAGTCTCAGAGGGAAGCTTGAGTTGTCCCAAAAGGCCTGTGGGTCCCACCAACCCTCCAAGAGCAGGGCCCACACCCATTTGTCATGCTCTGCCCAGCACCTCACGCATGACCCGTGGTGGGGGGAGGGCCACCTCGGAGCGACTGTGTCCCCCACCCAGTCTCACCTTCTCCCTGAGGCTGACTGAGAACATAAAGGTGCTTGAGAAGCCCTGAGATCCAGGGCGGGGCCTGGGGGCCAGAGCCCCGGAGGAGCTCAAGCGTACCCCGGAGGAGTGACTGGCCCCGGCAGGAGCCAGGAGGGAGGGGGCGCAGGGTCCCCTCCAGCAGGGATCCCAAAGGCAGGCTCTGCAGTCCTGTGGCTCACAGGAGCCTCCTGACGGACACACATCCCAAATGCAGGTCCCTCCCAGTGTCTTCCAGGGCACTGGCACACCCATGCAGAAGGTTCCATTTCTACCCATGACCAAGGTCCTCTTCATTATAACCTAGCAACTGAGTCATGAAAGTTTACTAAAAGAGGGTATCCATGAGGGAAAATGAGGGTGATTCTAGAGCTACTGAACACTGTCAGTGCGACCTCAGGTAACTTAAAACTTGTTTCTTTCTTTCCCCATCTGTAAAATGGGACTAATAACAGTTCCACCGTCATTGAGATGCTGGAAGAGTCAGAGAGCGTAAAACAGTGTCTGGCCAGAGCAGGCACTGCAGAGGTGACCTGTCATCATGACTGCAACATGTGGGGAGGGCGCCTCGCCCCGGTGGAGGGTTGGAGTTCCTGCCACCATGGAGGGTGGCTGCATCAGGGCTGCCCTGGAGTCGGTGCACTCTCCCATTGACACTAATCTTCCTCGGAAATGGTCAATTTCTGTTAGTTTTGCCGTAGTATTACTGACATCATGTGTTGGGAGTGGTTCGGGAAGCCCTACAGAATACAGTGCTGCATATTCTACCCAGTAATTTTTGACATAAGACTTTCTAATAACTAGATTTCAAGCCGTCCATGTGTATGGTTCAAACATGGATCATCCTTGTCCTGTAGTTAAAGCTGATGTCTATATAAATAACACCCCTCCCCCAAACATTGGACTTTTGCTGAACACTGTCTCTGTCACTGAGTTCTCTATGTGGGGCCATCTGGGGAGTATGGGCTGCAGGGATTTCATCCTCTCCTTGGATTGCTCTGGAATATTGGAGACCCCATGCCTGGAGGGCCCAGGAGGGTGGCCCTGCTTTTCAGAACTAGGTACATGTGGAGTGGCAGTGGCCCCCCTCTGAATGGCACCCTAGCTCAATGTAGTGGCAAGGGTCCATGGGCTCCTCCTGGGGACCCCAGCTCCCCATGCTGTCCTCTACCTCACACCTCTGCCCCGCGTGGGCATGGGCCCCAGGAGCATCTTTGCAGAGAGCTCACCCACATGCACATGCGCAGGGTCAGGACCTGGCTCCAGACATCACCTTACTGACTGATCTGACCCGGTGCTGACCCATCTTCTGCTCTGCACTTGAAGACTCAGTGTATCTCTTTCCATGTGTTCCTTGCTCTGCTGAGGGAATGGAATCCTGGCCGAGTCAGAGTCCTTTCTGCCCAGGCTAAGAAAGTAGGCCTGATATTTGTACTGAAGCTCGTTCACATACATATGCCCATTAGATACAATACACTGCATTGGTTATTAAGGAAGCTAGGTCCAGAGAGGGTAAGACACTTGTCAGAGGTCACACGTAAGGCCCAGGCGAGGAGTTCCCTGTAATTAAGATGATTGTGGTGGCCTAACTCCTTAACTAGTGCACTAACCTGCCCCTTTTCATGGCTCCTGCAGATGCCCAAGGGACCATCCGGGAAATTGTCTTGCCCCGGGGCCTTGACCTGGGCCTGGACCTGGACTGGCCCAGCGGACCGGTGCGTCCTTCACGCCGAGCAGCGGTCCCACCTGGAGATGGAGTTCCGGCGCTACCAGTGCCCTGCGCACACTGAGCTGGCCCGCCCGCTGAACCTCTCTGAGTCCCAGATAAGACGGCATCTGGGCCACGCCGCCCTGCCCTGGCACCCTGGCAACTCCATGGGTGTGAGAAGCAACGTGGGAGACGTTCAGACACACATTAGGTTCAGGCATTGCAGGTACACCAGAGACAGTCAGTGCAGTGCTGACCAGAGAGTGGTGTGTGCCCGCGGGAGGCCTTAAGGGTGCATGACCGTGTGGACAGAACAAAGGGAAAGGCCGGAGAACCCTGGGGGCGGGCACTGAGGGTGCAGCCAGTGGCTTAGGGGGTGTTGGCCTGTGAGAGAAGCTTACAGAAAGGGATGTTGAGGGGTTGGATTTGGGGAGAGAGGAGATTTTATACAACTGGCATCTCATTTCCCATTCTGGGCCTTTTCTATCCTTTGTCACCCTTTTCTTCATCTGGTGTGGCTCAGAACCTCTTGTTAGAGAGAAGGGGTCTGAGCACCTCTTCCCCCAAGAAGGGCGTATCGTTTTTACGATAGTATGCTTAACCAAAGGAAAAGCCCACTTTGAGTCACCGCGTTAGCATGAACTCAGGTGTGCTCACAGTAGCTTGTTATGCATAATTAAAGACACTCCTATCACTCAGGAAATTCCAAGGGGTTAGGAGCTCTGCTAAGAACCAGCAGTGCATTAAAATGATAATTTACTGTGATCAAATGAGATTTATTTCAAGGATGCAAGGATGGTTCAACATTTGCAGATCAATCAATAGTGACACATCACCTTAATAGAATGAAATAAAGAATCGTATGATCTAAGTCTGTTTCTGGTTTTGTTTTGTTTTTTCTACATTTATACAAAAAGGGATTGAGAAGTGTAGGTTGCATATTGAACTAAAATCCAGTTTTCTGTGCTATAGTTTTAGGATAGTGCTTGTTGAACACTGCTGGTGGTTTGAATTCTGACTTTCCACCATTGTCTGCTGTTTAAAACAGCAGAAACTTTTATTGATTTGCACTTCGGGAACTGAGAGCATAAAGACAAACTTGGCAGCTTTTCAGGATGAGCACAGTCCTGGAGAATAAATCTCATAGAGACCGCTTTACCCTTCATGTTCTGCAGGTCTAGAGGTCTTATGGTGAGTAAACCACAACCTTATTCTTAAAATTAACTCTGATTGAGGATTTCAGACCAAACTGGCTAAAGTAAATGTTGAAGAAATGTACAGGGCATTTACCCAAAGAAGTACACTATCTCAGAGCTGTGATATTACAGCGATGTTATATCAAGCCCTTTCTTAAGATAATGAGGAGCAGGGTTGGGTGTTTTTTAGACCCAGACTCCCTGTATATTATACAGGTCAGAGTTGAATCTTTTTTCCAACCTAATTTCTGAAACCACTAAATATGTCAATTAAGAAAAGGACTTTTAGCCCTGACCAGTTTGGCTCAGCAGTTGGAGCATCGGCCCGCAGACCGAATAGTCCAGTCAAGGGCACTTATCTTGTTGGTTTGGTCCCTGTTCCACACCAGGCGCCCACTCAGGGTTCCAGTGCCAGGAAGATAATCCTCATCACTTCTGGCTGGAAAAACCAGCGGGAATTGAGGTTCAGGGAGGCTGAGGCAGCTAGAGCCCCAGGCAGCTCCTTAAAGGGCCCGCGCACAGACTTATCAGACTCACTCCCTCTAATCTTGGAGAGCAGGCAGCTCGAGGGGCAACAGAGACATACAGGGAAGAACTGAGCTGTTTGGCATTGGAGCGAGGGCTGGAGAGGGGACTTTCTCTGGGACACACATGCTGTCAGAGGCCTTTGTTTCGTTGGTGAGCTCTTCCTGGGGGCAGCAGACACCCACCATATCTGAGACTCCAGCAACCTGGTTGCCCCGCCCTAATGATTCCCTGAGGCCCCGCCCCACCCAACTTTTAGGCCCACCCAAGCTGTTGCCAGTTGCTTAACCGTGGGATTGACGAGTCTTGGATCCTGCTTCAGGTTTTCCTAAAGTCTTTCAAACAAGGAGCAGCTGACCTCAGATAGCCCCATACCTCTCATTAAGTAATAAATACAGAGAAACAAACATAGGGAGGCAGCCAAAATGAGGACACAAAGAAACAGGTCCCAAATGAAAGAACAGAACAAAACCCCAGGAAAAGAACTAAGCAAAATGGAGATAAGCAACCTAACCGATGCTGAGTTCAAAATACTGCTTATAAGGATTCTCAATGAACTCAGTGAGAATCTCAGTGAACTTATTGAGGGCCTCAAGAGCATAAAAAAGGACCAGTCAGAAATAAAAAATGCACAGTCAGAAATGAAGGAGGCAGTAACTGAAATAAAGAATAATTTACACGGATTCAATAGTAGAGTAGGTAAAGCCAAGAAGCAAACCATCGATTTGGAATATAAGGAAGCAAAAAAACGCCCAATCAGAACAACAAAAAGAAAATAGAATCCAAAAAAATGAGGACAGTGTAAGGAGTCTCTGGGACAACTTCAAGCATGCCAACATTTGCATCATAGGGGTGCCAGAAGGAGAAGAGAGAGAACAAGAAATCGAAAACCTATTTGAAACAATAATGGCAGAAAACTTCCCTAACTTGGTGAAGGAAACAGACATACACGACCAGGAAGCACAGAGAGTCCCAAACAAGATGAACCCCAAGAGGCCCACACCAAGGCACATCATCATCAAAATGCAAAAGGTTCAAGACAAAGAGAGAATCTTAAAAGCAGCAAGAGAAAGGCAGCTAGTTACCTACAAGGGAGTTCCCATTGGACTGTTAGCTGATTTCTCAAAAGAAACTTTGCAGGCCAGAAGGGAGTGGCAAGAAATATTCAGAGTGATGAAAAGCAAGAACCTACAACCAAGATTACTCTATCCTGCAAAGCTGTCATTTAGAATCCATGGCCATATAAAGAGTTTCCCAGACAAGAAAAAGTTAAAGGAGTTCATCACCACCACACCATTATTATATAAAATGATGAAGGGTCTTTTTGAAGAAAAGATAAAATATATGAACAAACAAAATGGCAATGAATACTTATCTATCGACAATGGAATCTACAAACAAAATGAACAGGCAGAACAGAAACATTGCCATAGATACAGAGAACAGTTTGTTGGTTGCCAGATGGGAGGGGGTTTGGGGAATGGGTGAAAAAGGTGAAGGGATTAAGAAGAACAAATTGGTTGCTAGACTGACAAACCTCAAAAGGAAAGGGGTTGGAGGGTGGGAAGAAATAAACCAAAGAATTTATATGCGTAACCAATGGACACAGACAACAGTGTGGGAAAAGGCGGGAGGGGGGCAGGAGTGGGAAGGAGGGGGTCAATGGGGGACAAATGAGGAACATCTGTAATACATTCAACAATAAAGATTAAAAAAAAAAAAAAAAAAAAAACTGTCCTGAACCTGGACTTGGAAGGAATAGCCTCCTGGGAAAATATTGCATTCCTGATAAAATGCATAAGCCATTTGCTGATGAAGTTTAATGAGACTAAGATTTGTTAGAGGAATCTAATTTTATACCCACCTATTTGTATCAGCTGCCTTTTTACCGAACTTATTTTATCCACATATCTGATCTTACAATGATTATAAGAATGTTCTCTTTCTCTATAAAATACCCCTACTGAGAATAAATCTTTGAATTAGCCTCCTAAAGGCCTCTTCCTTTGCAGGCGAGACTATCACAAAATTTTTATATCTGCTCGTTACTTAAAAAAATAAAAAAATTAAAAGCTTTCTTTAACATTAATATTGGCAATATACAAAGGTGGGGACAGGGTGGAGAGGGAGTGGGAGGGGGGAATCAGTGGGGGAAAAAGGAGAAGCATGTAACAAAAATTAATTTTTAAAAATATTGTCTATATATAAAGGAAGGGATTGGACATGATGATCTTTCCAGGGTTTAAAATCAGTAAGCCTGCCCTGGCCAGTTTGGCTCACCGGTTGGAGCGTTGGCCTGCAGACCAGAGAGTCCTGGGTTCGGTTCCGGCTAGGGGCATGTACCCAAAAAATAAATAAATAAATAAATAAAATTGGTAAGCCTGTTGGCTTCTATACAGTTGAATTACTTTATAAGCATACATGAATTGTATAGATAGAATCCATTAAAGATTGTAAGCAAAAAGAAAAAAATATTTGACAAAGTTGGCAAGAGCATACATGGAGTAAAGACAGCCTCTTTAATAAAGGGTGTTGGGAAAATTGGACAGCTACATGCAAAAAAAAAAAAAAAAAAAATGAAACTAGACCATCAACTTACACCGTACACAAGAATAAACTCAAAATGGATAAAAGACTTAAATGTGACTCATGAATCCATAAAAATCCAGAAGAAAATGTAGGCAACAAAATTTCAGACATTATACGCAGCAGAATTTTCACTGATACATCTCCTAAGGCAACAGAAACAAAGGGAAAAATGAACACATGGGACTACATCAAACTCAAAAGCTTCTGCACAGCAAAAGAAACAACCATCAGAATGAAAAGGGAACCCACTGTATGGGAGAGCATCATTGCTAATGATACATCAGATAAGGGGTTAATTTTCAAAATATATAGAGTGCTCATAGAACTTAACAAAAGGAAGGCAAAGAACCCAATTAAAAAATGGGCAGAGGACCTAAATAGACACCTCTCCAAATAAGACATATAAATGGCCAAGGGACATATGAAGAAATGCTCAATGTCACTATTCGTCAGAGAGATGCAAATTAAAACAACTATGAGGTATCACCTCACACCTGTCAGAATGGCTGCCAACAACAAATCATCAAACAAGTGCTGGTGAGGGTGTGGAGAAAAGGGGACTCTGGTACACTGCTGGTGGGAATGCAGATCGGTGCAGCCACTATGGAAAACAATATGGTGTTTCCTCAAAA